GTTACGTGGGATTTAGAAAATTTTATATTTAAATTGTGGTATTAATGCTTTTGAACATAACTTATAAATAATATAATAGTATACGAAGATTCAAAGACGTTAGAGGTAGATCTACCGCACAAGCTTTTCCACAACGCGTTATGTTAAGTTCTGAATAAACTTAAATCCGTACGTAAACTTAGTAATTCAACGCACAAAAACTCATAACATATATATTATTGCGTCAGGCTTTTGCTACTTTACGATTTTCTTTGTGCATTGATTGAAGTTTAAGGTTACGAACGGTTCTAAGTTTACGATGGTTACGTTCATGATGTAAGTATAAAGGTGTACCATTGCGCATAATGGCGTCATCCGTAGTGACGTATGTGTAGTAGGCCAATGAAAAATGGCCAGGAATGCAGCCGCGAAATTCAAATGCTCTATTAATCGTATATTACTAAATATATATTAAAATATATATTTTAACTTAAAATTTGTAATAAAAGAATAATATTTCAAGATATCCTCTTCAAGATATCCTCAATAGGCTCCACGTCCGTATTCTCGAGGCCCCTGCTATCAATCTCCGTCGCCAGCCATTCTCTTAATACGCACACTTAACCTTACCAACACTGTTTATTCTGTGTGACACTGTCAGCAGCCATATTGAATTCTAACATTCCTGGCCATTTCTGATTGGCTATCATTTTTGACGACTGCGCATCCACGGGAATGGAACACCTTTATACTTACATCATGGTTACGTTCAACAGAACGTTTATTTTGCAACTGTTGGAAATTTTCTTAATTCACTCTTCGTCTCTTTCTGTTCCCTTAAAAAGAGACAAGAAGTTAGTTAAGCTAAGGTTAAAAATAAGCGACATGTACTATTCCATTAACGTAATGCCCTCTAGTACGATTTTTAGAAATTAAACCTACACTTTCACCGTTCCAACAAGAATTTTACACGGTGTAACACAGTGCAATTTTGTGTGTCCTAGCTGGAAAACGCCCATTGTTAAAGTGGTCGACGGACCACATGCGGGCCGAGGTGGTGAAATTAAACACCTGTACCGAAGCTTTGCCTTTTTACACTCGAGAATGTTCGTCGACAACGGCGGAATATTCGTATGCAAGACCAGACATTTACAATTGTCCGGTGGAAATAAGACAACTTCCATTAATTCTATGTCACCAGTGGCAGGATTTATGTCACCTAGAATTGCCTCTCCGATGCATCCCAGCGGGTTGGTCTCTCGTTCTCGTTTTGTGTATTTGTTTTCTCGATATGCTCCTTCAAAGTTTACTTGTAGTCAACTATTGATCAATCTTACAGAGGTGGTTTTGGACGAGGTGGCGGCGGTGGAAGAGGCAGAGGCCGTGGCGGTGGCGGTGCAAGACGCGACAGGGAATTAATTGGAACCACGATCAAAATAACGGGTGGCCCGTACAAGGGAAATGTAGGCATTGTAAAGGATGCGACGGAGACCACAGCGCGCGTGGAACTACACTCCACGTGCCAGACAATCTCCGTCGATCGGTCTCACATTGCACCAACAACGTTTTTGTTTGGTTGTGAACCCGGGTCTTCGGATTACCAGACCCGCGCACAATCCTCTGCGCCACGATCGCCACAGAGTATACTTTTCTATTCTGTATATTTTCTGTTTGTACGATATACGTGTGGAAAGTGTGGACATTTTTTTCTATTTCAATGTTACAGACGGTTCTCGCACCCCTCATTATGGTTCAATGACGCCGTCTCACGATGGATCGCGAACGCCAGGACAATCTGGCGCCTGGGACCCGTCAGTTACTAACACACCCGCCAGGACAAACGATTTCGACGGCTACAGTATAGAAGAAGGTGGCTCGCCCGGTTACGGGCCCGGATATCCTCCCACCGGTGGGCCGTTTACCCCACAGACTCCGGGCACCATGTACGGCTCGGATCGACAATTTTATGATATACTTTAATGTAATATGTTCTACCTCTAGTCTTATTAAAACAGAAATAAAAGTTTTTATGACATATTGTACGCGTGAGAGCCACAAGTCTTCGAGAGGCATACTTCAGCAAGGTAAGATTATGCACAGAAGTATTCAAGGTCCGTGGATGGAGATGGAGGGGAACGTAATGTTTTCTATAGGTTTTATAATACTACATATATTTACTATTACAGATTATACTTTGAGATACTCTGCTCTTTCGTATGGAGGAAAATCGACTTTTATCTCAAAATTTAAAAAGGGCTGAATGAAACCTGGCAGTAAATCGTTCGCAGTTGCTGAGAGCTAAAAATCTTCGAGAGGCATACTTCAGCAAGGTAAGATTATGCACAGAAGTATTCAAGGTCCGTGGATGGAGATGGAGGGGAACGTAATGTTTTCTATAGGTTTTATAATACTACATATATTAACTATTACAGATTGTACTTTGAGATACTCTGCTCTTTCGTATGGAGGAAAATCGACCTTTGTCTCCAAATGTAAAAAGGGCTGAATGAAACCTGGCAGTAAATCGTTCGCAGTTGCTGAGAGCCAAAATAAAATTTTGGAGAAGAGGATCTATTACCGTTTAAAACTGATCGATTATCTGATTAAAGAGCATATTATTTATTGATAAGCTAGAGTAAGTGTTACGAGATAAAATTTTACTTTGTACGCAGAATATATATATATTTTTTCATTTACATGTATAACTGTTAGAAGCGTGAGGCTACGAGTAATATTATTTAATTCTGAGACGATCAGAAGGGAATATTTAACGCGTCGTTGCGTATTATATTTATGAAAAATCTCATTAAGTAGCTAACATGCCGAGAATAGATACATAATATTTTTAAATAAACCTTTAAATATTTTAAGGTGGAAAAAGAATGTGAAACTATAATACAGAGAGAATTTTGAAAAATGTATTTTCAATTCTTACAGTTAATAGCAAAACTAAGTATAACTTTTTAAATTAATTGTTTATATAGTAATATATATGTTATATGTCCACACAATATATGTTCGAAATATTATATGTCCACACAAGTCGAAATATATTTACATATGTATAAATATATATAATATATATAATAAAATGTTACATTTTGAATTATTGCTTTAAATTTGATTTACACCTCATAAATACAAATATAAAGAACAAAAACATGTCCATAATGCCATTGTAAAAGACGACTAAAAGATGTCTAATATCAGATGTCTTTTAGTCATCTTTCAGTCTCGGCTATAAGTCGACATTTAGTGGGACATAAGACGTCTTTTAGTCATCTTTTGGTCGACTATTGGCTCTACCTAAAAGACATCCATGACGAGAATCTGTCATCTTTTAGTCGTCTTTTAGACGTCTTTGTGCTATCTGGGGCTTAATGTAAAGCTAACAGAGTTGATAAAAAACCTGCGATAAAGAACCATCCGTTGCGGAAAAACATTTAAAAAACACTTAACATAACTTAATATGATAAAAAAATTTCTAAAGCATTAAAATTTTATTTTAATAAGAGTTTATTGATCAGCTTGCGCAAAATATTATAAAAAACGTTAACACAAATATTTCAATTAGTCTTCAGTATTATTATTATTTCAAAAAGATTTTAGTAACTTTTTAGCAATATTTCAGGAAAGCTGCAAATTTCTTAGGGCCGATTGTTCTAAGTGTTAGGTAGCTTACCTGATGGTTAAAAAGTATCCCAAATAGCACAAGGACGTCCTTAGGACGTCCTCAGGACGTCCAGGACGGACTTCGCGGATATCCTGAGGACGTCCTGA